CTTCACATTTCCCAGCACAGAAATTCAGTGCAGCAGGACCAGCTGCTGCAGAAAACCTGGATTTTGGCTCTGTGATTGAAGAATTGAACTTCTCTGGAAAGGCTCAGCTGGGATTATTTGCTCTCAGGCACCAGGAGCAGTTTTATCTCTCAGGAACTTGTTAAAAAGCTTGAAATAGGCATAGTTTGATCACAATGGGGACTCCCACAAAGCCAGGTGGGGTTTTAATCATTATTTTATTATTATTTTATACATATTTCTATAAATGAGTGGCAGGTTTCATTTGGAGAGTATTTTAGAAAAATCACTGGGAGTTGTTTGGCTGCCTGGGTAGAAAAGCTGGGAGGAATCAAAGCTTTTCCAGCTTTTCAGGATGGAGCAGCCACTGAAATCTGACAGAAGAAAAATTGGATGAGGTGTTGAACAAGTTCTGGCAGCTCCTGTGAGCTGAGGAGCAGGATCAGGGAGAGCTGGAGATTTGGGAAGCTAAGCTCAGTTTTAGTCTGGCTCCTGCATTTGTGATTAACTTCTCCTGCCTCTGGCTCCTCAGGGCAGCGAGGCTGCAAAATCCAAACCAGATTGCTCCGGAGACAATTCCATTTCCACTGTTAAATATCAGGGTATTTCCTTATTAGAATGAGGTGGATGGGAATGTTGGGTGTTTGTGGCTGAGCCCAGGGAGATTAATTAATGAGATCCCCATTAATGCCGTGGCTGGGTTGATATCTGGAAATAAACCCCCACCTGCCTATTTTTTTTACAAAGTGCAGTGGAAAAATATCCAAAAGTTTCTGTGGAATTCAGAAATCCAGCTCTGCCCCAACATCTCAGCCCTGGAGTCACATTCCCATGGATTTTCCACAGAAGTAGCCACAGCAATGCTAATTTGGGAGTTGTCTGGGGAGCAAACTTGGAGTGCCAGAACAAGACTAAACCCCCTCTGTGTTTCCTCTAATAAAAGGGAAGAACACTAAATAATTAACGTCAACAAATGAAAACTAATTTGCCAATTTTTAATTTTTCCCCCATTGCGTGATCCCTGTTAATGAATAATTTACCAGCCAGAGATGAAAATAAAATGAAAGGATTTCTCTGGGGTCTGCTGTGTTCTCTGAACATCCAGCCTGTTTAGATATCCATATATATATATTTTTTTTTTTAAAGAGCAAAAAATAACCCCAGAGAAAACAGCTTTCAGCAGGAACCAGGCAGGAATAAAAAGAGCTGCAGCCTCCAGAGGTTTTCCCATTTCCTTGCAGACCTGAGATCATTTGTCTGAGGCTGTTTGTGAATTATTCATACCCAGTGGAGCTCTTTGCTTTCCCAGACTGAATGTGACCAGTTTCCATCTCAGGGCTTCCCGTGCTGCTTTTTTTGTTTGCATTTCAGGTTTTCCTGGGATTCCTTTATCCCAGGGCCCTGCTGGATGCTGGGGGACTCTGTCAGTCAAACACCCAGAACCTGCTCCGTGCTCAATGCCCAGTGCTTCCCACAGCACACGAGGCAGCTTGGGACTGGGATAACTGGGAAACCCTGGGAATGATGCCCTGCGGGACCTCCAAGGGACAAGTGTTTGTTATTTTAGCTCTGGGTTGATTTTAAGGGTCCTGTGCATCCCAGTCCCTGTGTCAGACTAGCAGGAGCATCCCAGTCCATGGAAGTGTGGCAGGTGAGGGAATGAGATGGGGTTTAAGATCCCAGTTCAAAACCCTTCTGATTCAGCTGCCACTCAAAACCTGCTTAGGTTTGGGTGTGTTAGATAGGATTGGAAAAACAGACCCAGGGCTGGGGAAACAGATCCAGGGCTGGGGAAACAGATCCAAAACTGGGGAAACGGATCCAGGGCTGGGGAAACAGATCCAGGATTGGGGAAACTAATCCAGGATTGGGAAAACAGACTCAGGACTGGGAAAACAGACCCAGGATTGGGATGATCTTCAGTGTGTGCTCCAAGGCTTCCTTGGAGTTCCATGCTCCACCAGCCTCCAGCATGAGCAGCATCTCCACATCCCATGGACACTGGGGCAGCCTCATGCCGTGGAATTCCAGACTGGTTTGGTGGGAAGCAGAAGGAGGAGAGACAAGTTCCACCTGCAGCTGAGTTTCCTTGGCTTTTCCTGCTGCTGGGCACCAGAGGCACAACTTGAGGAGGAGCACTTGTGCTCGCTGCTGTCGCTGTTCCCTGGCCCTGCTCAGGTTTGGGAGGAGCCATCCCCAGTGTTGGTGTGGAGCCATCCTGATGTTTGAAAGGAGCCATCCCAATGTTTGTGAGGAACCAACCCAGTGTTCCTGAGGAGCCATCCCAATGTTTGTTCCTGAGGAGCCATTGGGTGTTCCTGAGGAGCCATCCTGGTGTTTGTTCCTGAGGAGCCATCCCAGAGTTCCTGAGGAGCCATCCCGGTGTCCCTGAGGAGCCATCCCGGTGTTCCTGAGAAGCCATCCCGGTGTCCCTGAGGAGCCATCCTGATGTTTGCTCCTGAGGAGCCATCCCGGTGTTCCTGAGGAGCCATCCCAGTGTTCCTGAGGAGCCATCCCGGTGTTCCTGAGGAGCCATCCCAGTGTTCCTGAGGAGCCATCCCGGTGTCCCTGAGGAGCCATCCCGGTGTCCCTGAGGAGCCATCCTGATGTTTGCTCCTGAGGAGCCATCCGGTGTTCCCCGCTCCAGGTGAAGAGCGGCGGTGCCACATGTGGGATGTGGTTGCCGAGCAACCTCTGGAATTAAAACCATCTTCGGAGCCACCGGCGCGTCTGAGAGCGGAGATGTCCCTGCTCAGCCTCCTCCTCCCAGCAGTGCTCGCTCACCTGCAAACTTGGCAGGGCTTTTCTTCTCTCCACTGCTGTGATTTGTGCACATGCCTGGAATCCCGGGATCACCCAGGCTGGCAAAGCCTCCAGGACCCGACCAGTGCCCGATGCCCGCCTTGTCACTGAGTGCCACAGCCAGGAATTCCTTGCACACCTCCAGGGATGGGCACTCCAGACCTCCCTGGGCAGCGCCAAGGCCTGAGGCCCCTTTCCATGGGGAAATTCCTGCTGATTCCACCCTGAGGCTGCCCTGGCCCAGCCTGAGGCCGTTCCCTCTCCTCCTGTCCCTGTTCCCTGGGGGCAGATCCCAATCCCAACCTGGCTGTCCCCTCCTGTCAGGGAGTTGTGCAGAACCACAAGGTCTCCCCTGAACCTCCTCCACCCCCAGACTTCTCAGGCTTCCTCCTAAAGCCCCAGGAAGAAAATACTGTAGAAATAATATTTTTTCATAGATGGGATTGTTACTTTTTACAGGAACCTTCTGATTCCCAAACTAGTTCATCCCTCTTTTGTGAGGATTACAGACATTCCCCCACACTGAAGAGCTGAAAATTGGATTAATAGATTTCCTTTCAGTTTTCAAACACTCCTCTCTTGTTGTCACTAAAATTAACAGGCTCAGGAGCTATAAAAAGAGCTCCCTGCTTTTTCTGGGGAAAACCCCTCCCCTGGGAATTCAGAAATGGATCTGTCATGTGAGATTTCCCCGTGCCTTCCCCTCCCTGCTGTGCTGCATTCACCCTGCCTGTGTTCCAATCTCCTCGTATTCCTCTCCAAAGTAATCCAGACTCAAGTGTATCATGCAATTAAAGCAATAAAAAATGGAAAAATATAAAATTAACAAACCCCAGGATGCCGGGTATGCTTGGGCTGAAAAATAATTAATGGATAAATGGAATGAGCACGTTAAGGAGTACGAAAAGACACTTCAGGTTGCTCTGAGTGTGCTCCTCAAGCTTTCCTGGATTTTTTTCCCTCCATGCCTGGAGCTGCCCAATCCCTGTCCACATCTGTATGCAGCTGCAGGAGGGAAAAGGAAAGCCCAGGAATTTTCACAGTATTTTTGTTTTATGCGGGCTCAGACAGGCCCTGGAGCATGGAGCATGGATCCCTTCCAAAGGAACTCCTGGAGCTGGGTCACTCTGGGCAGGATGTGGCGCTGGGGGTGGCACCATCCTGGCTGTCCCTGTCCCCCCAGTGCCCTGCAGCATCCCATCCTTTTTCCGTGGGATCAGCACCACGGGCAGCTCCATAAATCCCGCCGCGAGGAGCGCGGATCGATACTCCACGGTTAATGATGCCCGACTGAAATTAGGATCGATTTCCTGTCTCCTCCTCTTCCCAATTATGCAAACTTGGCTGCGCCCCCTCCAGAGCTGCCTTTTATCCCTGCTTTTAGAGGCGCTGCCCAGTGATGTTTCATTCGGAATCGTCAAAAACATCACAACCAATTCTGGCTCTTGCTTTTTTGTTCTCTGCTCAGTCTTCACCCCGGGGTTAATGGAAAATGATGTCAAACACCAGGAGTGATTTATGGAAGTCAGGCAGCTTTTGGCACCCTGAGCTATGGATAAAGTCAACTGCAAATTGTTTTCACATTCTAAATTACTGTACCCAGCTCTGGAGGAGGCTGGAAAAACTGCCAGAGGGGAAATGTGGGAGAAGGAAAGGCTGTGTGGGGATCTCTGAGCTGAGCTGTGCCTCACAGGAATTCCGTTTTTTAAAGCCAAACCTCTGTGCTGAACACCAGGGATGGATTTTTCCTGGGAATTGCCATGGATGTGGGGATTCCCAGCTCCACATCTGCCACATTACACAGCTGGAGCAGGAACTGGTGCAGGCTGGAAATCTCTTCATTAAGAGCCTGAATAGGTTTTGATTGCAGAACAAAGATTCCCAGGAGCACCTCTGGAATCAAAGACACCCAAGAAGAGAAAGAAAACTTCCCTCTTTTACTCTCTGTATTATTTTTGTAGCTCTGACATTTCCTTTCAAACTTGTGCTGGATTATCAATAAAATATTGTTTTCTTTGTCATTGTTATGGATTTTTAAGTTTAAAATCTTGTAGGAGGCACTTGAGGGATTGTTTTTGTTTTGGGGTTGACTCAAAACTTGGTTTGTCTTGAGGCTAAGAGGAAATCTCCAAGCACTTCTCATAAAAATATATATTTTCTCTCTCTCTCTCCCCTTGCAGGAAGAACTCAGGAGGCTCCAGCACACCCTGGAACAGGTCAATGATGGCAAAGACTCACTGCAAAGGTAAATGTGCCTTTTCCAAACTAGCTCACCCATGAGAAAGTGAAATGCATTTTCCAAGGTGTGAACCCTTTGCTGAGGGATCCTCTTTGTCACAGACATCCCAAATTTTGCCTTTTTCCCGTAAACAATCCCTATTTTTAGTTACAAGAGGACAATTTCTGACAACGATATCAATGAGTGCCCAGTAAAGTCTCAAAAGAACTCCACAGGTTGGGGTCTGATCTCCCAGATTTCCTGCCAAGAGCTGCATTCAATCCATGCTGCTGCTCCCACCCAGGGCAGTGTTCCCAGACGCTGGATTTGGATATTCCAGCATTTTCAGGTTGCTTTCTTTGAGCCATCACTTCCCAGCAGCAACTCCTTGGCCATCATTTATTACAACGAATTTATTCCTCACCCCCCACGTGGCTTTTGCTGCTGTAACTCATTTGCTGCCAGCATTCCCATTGTTCCTTTCCATTTCCCTCTCCAGATTTTCCAGCATGGCTGTGGGGATGGAAGTTAATTTAGCAGGGATATCTGTTAGATTTGCCAGGGTTTGGGTTTTTTAAATTTTTTTTTTTTATTTACAGCAGCTCTTTTGCTGGCTGTGCCTGTCCCTGGAGCTGTGGCAGCTGGGAGATTTAAAACAGGGATTCAGGCAGATTCTCACTGGAAAACTGGATCCAAATTCCCATTTTGTGTTGGGAGCTGGACACAGAGATCCAGAAAACTTCCTCCAAAGACAGCAACACCTTCTGACCGGCAGCTCTTGTTTGTTCTTGTCCAGATGAGGGAATTCATTCACAGGGTTGCAGGAATGTCAGGCTGGAACACGTTAAACTCATTTCCTTTTCTCTCCCATAGCCATCAGCTCACCATGGACGAAGAAAATAATATCCAGGAATATCCTATCAACTTGCAGCCCTTGGAATCCAAAGTGAAAATGTGAGTAAGGAAAAGTGTTGGGTCTGCCTTGGAATGCATCTGGGGATGTCCAATTCCTGAGCTGCAGGATCCACACTGGATCCATCCTGGATTTCTGTGTAACTGGATAAAAGAGCTTCCAATTAGCAAATCAATTAAGTTCTCCATGTTTAAGAATGCGGAGCTGGGAAAATTGGGGTTGTTTAGCCTGGATAAAAAGAGAAGGCTCTGAGGTGACCAAATTGTGGCCTTGCAGGGCCTAAAGGGGCTCCAGGAGAGCTGCAGAGGGACTGGGGACAAGGATGGAGGGACAGGACCCAGGGAATGGCTCCACTGCCAGAGGGCAGGGATGGGTGGGAGATTGGGAATTGGGAATTCCTGGCTGGGCTGGGATTGCCAGAGCAGCTGTGGCTGCCCCTGGATCCCTGGTAGTGCCCAAGGCCAGGCTGGACACTGGGGTTGGAGCACCTGGGACAGGGGCAGGTGTCCCTGCCATGGCAGGGGTGGGATGGGATTTCCATTCCCTTCCCACCCAAACCATCCTGGGCTGGGTCACAGAATCACACGGATTCCCCTTATGTTAAACATCAGTGTTGCACTCACTTTGTCATTTCCTCTGTGTAACTCAAGAATATCTGGGAATCTCTGGATTTTTCCCTGTGTGCAGAGAAGCAAGAGGGGGGAAGGGCAGCACGGAGCCTTTTCCGTGCCGATTTCCCCATCCAACAGCAGTTTCCCGGGGAGTCCCTGGCAGGAGCAGCCCTGGAAGTGCAGAATTCCTGCTCTGGGGGGCTCGGGAGAAGCGGGATCTCCTGGGGCAGCGGGCCCAGCCGCGGCACACGCTGACACCCAGCGCACCGCCGGGAAGGGAGGGTGCACACCGGGGCTCCGGGAATGAGCTCCGACCTCCCGAACGCCGCCCAATCCTGCAGTCCTGGAGTGGTCCGCCTTGGAAGGGACCTTCAAGGACCTTTCAGTCCTGAGCAGGGATGGCTTCAATTAGGGCAGCTTGTCAGTTTGATTTGGGTTGGTTTTAGGGGTGGGGAATCTCCCCCCTGCCACTCTCATGGGAAAAAAATCCTTCCTCAATATCCTAAATCAATCCTCTCTTCGAATAATAGAACAATTTTAATTTTTGCTGTACGTTACATGATACCGAGTTCCCCCTGGCATCAGTTATTCTAGAAGCCTTGATTTTGAATAATTAAACTTCCCCACGTATTTATCAGCGTCCAGGATTCCTTTTGGAGCCTCTCCCTGCAAGGATCCTCCAGCCCTGGCACAGGAATTGCCTCCATCCAGAAAACACCACCTCACTTACAGCCCATTCAAATATTAATGCATATTAAAATATTAAAAGGACATGAAGTTTCAAATTAAACCCAGTGTCTTCTAAGCTTTTCGTCATGCAAATAAAAGCCAGATGAAAGAATCCATTTTCAGGGAGTTTTCTAGGAGAGTAATTATGACTTAAGCTCAGTCTATTCTCCAGCTTTAAAATAGAAATACATGTAAATATAAATATGTAAATATAAATAACTAAATACTGCTCATCCCAGTGAATAAAACCTCAATTGCTTAAAAATCCTACAAGGAGCTAATTCTGCAGAGAAGTTGTGAATGTTAGAATTGTTCCAGGCCAGGCTTGACAGGGTTTGGAAAGACTTGGGATAGTGGAAATTGTCCCTGCCCATGGCAGAGGATGGAATGAGATGACATTTTCCACCCTAAATCATTCTGGGATTCCATAATTCCATGACAATGCTCTAGCTCTCAAATTCGCATTGTGTCTGAGTTATAATCTGAAATGTGGTATAAAAAAAAGATGTAGATGATTGTTAATTCCTTTAAATGGACAAATGGATATTTAAATTTTGATTGTGGAATGCAGGATAAATTCTGAGCTCTGGATGGCCTCAACTGAAATCCCTTCCACGGGTTTTGGGATTGGGCTGGACTCTGAGGAACATGGTAAGAGTTTGGAACCAGATCATCTTTAAGGTCCTTTCCAACCCAAACCACTCCAGAATTCCCTGATTCTCCTTAAAAAATACCCTAAATTATCCCAGTGGTGCCTTATACAAACCCTGCAGAGGCAGTTCCACGTGACCCCTCCCCAGAGAGGAAAACACAACATGGGAAGCCCCAACCCCAAAGTTCCAAGAATGAAATCCTTTGTTCCCTCAGCATCCAGCGAGCATGGCGTGAGCACCTGCAGCGCCAGGACCTGTCCCCATCCCCGGAGCCCCGGGACAAGGACAGCCCGTCCCCGACGTCCCCGACGTCCCCAAGGTCCCCGATGTCCCCAGCGTCGCCGGGCTCGGGCAAGATGAGCAGGTCTGTCAGCATGAACACCTTCTCCGACAGCAGCACCCCCGTGAGTCCCGCTGGAGTTCCTCCTTTTGCCTTCGCTGCCCTCCTTTCTGGGGTGTGGGATCAGTGAAAGCTCACCGAGGTTTGGTAATGGGTTAAAAAGGGGTTTTTAGGTGTCGCAAATGACCTCCAGGCAAGGATTCCTCTTGTAGGCTCATCAGGATGTGTGACTCTGGGTATCAGACCTGGAATTCAGCAGATTTTGAGGTGTTCTTGCTGGTGAAAAGGTCCTTCCAAGTGGTCCTGTGTCCTGTGTGTTTAGGATATTGTGTTCCCAAAAAAACTCAAATTGTGGTGCTTTTCATGCAAAGAAATGTGGTTTCTTGGTTGATTTTTGGTTTTGTTTTGTTGGTTGATTTTTGTCAAAAAAGAGACTAAAAGAGACTAAAAGGGACTTTGAGAAGTGGATTTGGGAGGTCAACATTAAATTTGATTTTGGAATAAATATTCTGCCTTGACCAGTGGCTGGAGGCTGCATTTCTCTTTTTAAGTTGACCCTAAATAAACCCCAAATACAGATCCCATTTCTGGAGTACAAACAGCTCTGTGATTGTCTCTGAACTGGGATTTTTAGGCCAAAAAATAAATAAATACAGAGCCTGGAGATGTTGCCTTCAGCTTTGTGACAGAAGACAAGACTTGAAGGAATTGCAGACTGGAGCACATGGAATAATTCAGGAATTCCAGGAGCAGGGGTTGCCCTGGTGTGTGGGGCAGGAAGTGTCTCCCTGCCCCTGAGGAGGGAACAGCTTGGTTGGATCCTCACTGCCAGTGGCTGTTGTCACTCTCAGGACAGCATTTGGTGGCTTCTGAACCCCTAAAAAATCTGGGAATCATTGTTAGTGGTGTTCTTCAAGCTGAATAAATTTAATTCTGCCTTGAGCTGCAAAGTTGGAGCAATTTTAATCTCGTGAAGCCCAAGGCACTGATCAAACAGAGCTTTTCCACACGAAAAAGTGATCTTGGAATTTTGGGGATAATTTGACTCTTTCCAGTGTCGATCCAAGTGTTGATCCGGGCCCAAAGTGAAGCTGTTTCCAGCAGGTTTGTTTTGGGACACGGTGCTTGACAGAATCTAATAAAATATTCCTGAGGGCACTGCTTTATTTTCAGTTGGGAGCTGGAGAGGAGGAAGATAAAGTGGGTTGGAATTCTGGGTTAGACATTGACATTTCATGGATTAAAGGGGTTTGGTTCCTTTAATTAGAGGAATAAATGAGGCTAGAAGTGTTTATCTGCCACTGGAATCTGCTTCCACCAGAGGTCCCTCGTACCCTGCGCAGGGACACTCCCAGAGCTTCTCCAGCACTGATCTCGTTTGGAACATGACACTTGGGGATGTTTGGGAGCTCAGGAAGGGCAGCTGGGAGTTCTGTAATTGTGGGGAGAAAGTGACGGCTCCATCTCCGAGTGCTTGTGGGGCACAACACGGGGCTCCCCCGAGCCTTCCCCATGCAGAGAGCTGATGGAACGGGTGCAGTGTCAGAGCTTGAGGGATGAGATGGGAAATGGAGAATTCTTGTTTGGCTGCTGCTTTGTAGCAAAGAAAAGCTTGTGTATGTGTAGTACAAACAGCTTTTTAACTGATGGAAAAGATCTGTTATTGATCACTGATCAGATTATGGTCTGAGTAGCACACAGGCTGGAGCTGTGTTGTCTTCACTTGTTTTTGTTTTCCTTTTGCATGCTAATTTTTGCTAAAAAGAAATTGGGAAACAGATGTGTAACAGATTTGAAATAATGTTCTTCCTTGTAAATATTTTACTTTTTGCTACCGTGTAGAAAAATGCCAAAACTTTCCTTCCTAGATAGGTTTCTGCTTATTCCTCCAAAATCACTGAATGGTTTGGGTTGAAAGGGACCTTCAAGCTCATCCCATCCCACCCCTGCCATGGCAGGGACACCTTCCACCATCCCATCCCCAGTGTCCAGCCTGGCCTTGGGCACTGCCAGGGATCCAGGGGCAGCCACAGCTGCTCTGGGCACCTGTGCCAGGGCCTCACCTCCTCCACAGGGAGGAATTCCTCCCCAATATCCCATCTGAATTTCCCCTCCTTCAGCTTGAAGCCATCCCCTTGTTCTGTCACTCCAGCTCCCAGTGAAGTCTCTCAACGTCTTCCTTGCGTCCCCATTCCGATTCTGGGAGGAGCTCTGAGCTCTGCACACAAATTCCTCTTCTCCAGGCTGACAAATTCCACTTTCCCAGCCCTTCCCCACAAGGGAAGATCTCCAGTCCCATTATCAACACCATGGCCGGTTCTGGGCTTGCTCCAGCAGCTCCACGTCCTTCTTACTGTGGGGACAGCAGATCCGGGTGCAGCACTCCAGGCGGGGTCTCAGGAACACTCCATGCCCAGGGGGATGTGCTGCCGGGGCAGGAGCGGCATTCCCGGGATGCGGTGGCGGCTCTGGGCGCTCAGCACCGTGGCCAGCGGCTCTGGGCGCTCAGCACCGCGGCCAGCGGGGGGCAGGGGGCGCTCAGCACCGCGGCCAGCGGCTCTGGGCGCTCAGCACCGCGGCCAGCGGCTCCGGGCGCTCAGCACCGCGGCCAGCGGCTCCGGGCGCTCAGCACCGTGGCCAGCGGCTCTGGGCGCTCAGCACCGCGGACAGCGCCCAGCTTCTGCCGCTCCTCGCCCGGGGCTCGGGGCTCGCTGCCCTTCAGTGAGGATCTCACCCCAACCCTGTCACTGCTGACCTCCCGCCCTGGCAAAGCACCTCTTTTCCTCTCCTAAAAATCACTGGGATGCTCACGAGAATGACAATTCTGTAAAATTCCCATTTTTCTGCTTGAGCCCAGTGCTCCAAGAGGCAACTTTCTACCAAGAAATGTTTTTTTTAGAGGTGTAACCACACAAACCTGCTTTTCCAAAGAGGAATGAATATTGTCCCACCTTTTCTCCATCAGTTGATGCCATAGAATTATCCCATGGGGAAAAGAGCCAGGATGGAACTCCTGTGCCCACACCCCAGGTTCTTTGTCCTTCCTGCCCCATGGGGTACCTTCCAAGCTGGGACTTTCCTCAGTGATTTATTAAGGTTTGGTTCTCAAATAGAACCAAATCTCTCTGCAGCCTTTGTGTGCTCCTGGGTCTCCCAGCAGAATCCCATTTTCCCACTGGTGTCTGACATTCCCAGGTGGGTTTTGCACCTGCAGGAGCGATGGGAAGTTGTGGCAGAGGGAAAATCAATGTATGGGAGGCAGTGAAATCCTAAGAAGAATTGGGGTGTTAACATGGGAACATTCCCTCTTCCTGCGAGCCTCAATTCCCAAATCTGTGAGCAGCAGAGAGGGAACCATCTGATAAATATTTACAATGTGATTTCTATATAATGTAAAAATGCAAATCCTCGCTCTTGAGCAGCGTGGATGGAAACATAATTAAAGATGAGGGAGACAAATCCAACTGAGATCAAAAGGCCTTAATTAGAAATCAAATATTTGATGGGTTGGGGAGAAACATTAACGCTGATGTGGCTGTCAGATAACACTTGGAATGAAAGGAACATGGAAAAAAAAAATGTTGTTTTCAATCCCTCCCTTTGGCTTTGGATAATCTCAGTTCTAAATGTGAGCAAGGAATTCAAAGTGCTGTGGCCTAACATGGAATTTGTCTTTTAAATGGCTTTTCTATGGAGAAATAGTTGTTGACTTTGTGTTTATTTGTGTACATAATCATCCCCAGTGATTATCCAAGTTTAATCCCTTACAAATATCATCCCATGGGATTTGAACTGCTGGGATACAAAAGGACCCCCTTGATCCTTTCTGCTGGTGGGAGCAGAACACCAACAATTTCTTCTTTTTTATTTGTGTGCATTGAAGGTTGGGTATCCATGTGATTATTGAAGTCAATTTGAGTCCTTGTGGTCTAGCAGCAGCAAAATCAATCCAGAAATGCTCTTGGCTGATGATCAACCTCTGATAAGACGTTTCTGATGATGTTTCTGGGGGATTATTTGGCTGCTTGAGATACTTGAGAAGTTTTTTTGAGTTCTGGAGTGGGTTTTGCTCTGTGAAGTTTCACAATGAGATGGTTCTGATGATACTGATGAGAGGTCTCAAAAATAGTTTTATTTATGCCCCACTTCAGGAAATTTGGCTGAATCCTTTATAAATCCTTTCTAAGCTAATTCTATTTACAATATCTCATTTATTCCCACAGCAGGGAAATTCCACTGCCTTTTACAAAGCCAGGCCCCAAAATGAAAATAATATTAATGAAGAGTTTAATGCTGAATTAAGCAGGGGTTGCAAAGCAGATTTGCACCATCACAGGGAGCTCCTGGGGAGTTTCTCTCCAGCCCTGTGACAGCACACTGAAAATCCAGAATTTCCTTTGTCTGAGGAACTTCCAGAGGGCAGGGGTGGATATTGGGAATTGGGAATTATTCCCTGTGAGGGTGGGGAGGGACTGGGCTGGAATTCCCAGAGCAGCTGTGGCTGCCCCTGGATCCCTGGCAGTGCCCAAGGCCAGGCTGGACACTGGGGCTGGAGCACCTGGGACAGTGGGAGCTGTGGCACTGGATGAGCTTCAAGGTCCCTCCCAACCCAAACAATTCCATGATTCTCTCCTCTGTGACCTTTGCTGATGGCATTTGCAGTCCTTGGGAATGATGACAGTGGCCTGATTTCTTTAGGCTGGAAAAGATCCCATCTTCTCCCGCTCTTTAGGATGCACAGCTAAAATATCCCAAAACACGCAGAGTTCCCAATGAGACCCTCTGGGATCACAGCTTTGGGCCTTGGTGACTTGAGAGCTGGGCATGGATGAGGACAGGACACGGCAGAGCACACCAGTAACTCCTAGGAATTATTTGGAATTATTTCACAAATCCAAAAGGGATTTGCCTTTTGTTGTCACCCTTCCCAAGCCCGGCCTGTGACAGAGCTCAAACAGCTCAATCCAGAGCCAAACTGGAGCAGTGCAGGAAAAAGGAATGGATTTGGAATGGGAAAGAAAGGGTGGCAGTGGTGGCGTGTCTCCAACACGGAATTATTTGAGACTGGGAGATTTCCAACCACAGGTTTCCCACAAGGAATTATCTTCACTGGCTGGAATGAATTCTATTTTCATGGGACCAAAAAAGAGGGGAAAATGTAAGAAATTTAAGTAATGGACAATAAAGTCATGATTAGACCAGGAGGAATTAGATGTATAAAATATATTTAACAGAAACTTACTGGGATGGAGGGAAAATCCAATGGAAATTGCCCCATCCTGAGCCATTAAATTATTTTAGTGGCTCTATGACCGCTGAAATGTGGCAGCAGCACTTTAATGGGGTCTATTGCAGAACAGTGGATCTTTCCAAATATATCCAGATTATCTCCTTCCAAAGGGCAGAGTATTGATTTCTGCTCGTAAAATGAATTTTCAGAGTAAATACACCGGAAAAGTACATTTTTGTG